GCACACAATGGCCACATAAATTTATTATTTATATCTTTCTGGAAAGTGTGTTTCCTATTTTGATAATTTATATAATTTTCGTTGGAGTTGGGGACACAAGGACCTTTTATAGGCCTTATATAATTTTAATTATCTTATTTACTTCATTATCTGTAGGGATTTTATTTAAAAAATAAATAATAAATATTTACGAATTATTATAATTTAAAATTTTATTTGTGAATTGTTCATCTAAATTTGATGTATGAAGCATATTGACCTAAACATTGATCTTACTATTCATGTATTTGTTTAAATTAATAATTATTGATCACTAAGTATTCAGTAAAAACATCTTATGTGCAGTAAACTAGAACTTTGTATAATAAGTTTTACACCACCATTCTTTCTTTTTTCTAGCAATTTCTTTAATGTAACTAACTAGAAGAAGGCCATTTAAAATAGCCGAAAACGTTAGTTACAATAAAGAATTTGCTAGAAAAAAGAAAGGTGTTGTGAAACTTAAAAAGCATCTTAGAAGTATAATATGGTGCAATTACAGTACTATCAGGGTCATTAGAGACTGGTCACTGCACTCTTGTTAAATACAATACAAGTGAAGGATAGGGACTTCAGACTGCATAAGGATGGAGCACGAGTGCCAAGATATTAGAACTCTCATAAAAAACCTTTCAAGCAGTGGCACAACCAGGGGAAGGCAGGAGGACAAATGCACTTTCTAGAGAATTTTTAAAATTTTTTTATTCTTTTTAATGATTTTTGGAGCTTGCTTACTTTTTATAATGCTATTTAATCATTATAAAAAAATAATTCTTTTTATTATAACTTTTAATTTCTGCCCTTCAGTTTCTTACTTTCAGAACTTTACATTTTTGCAAAAACATAAGGTTTGGTTGCATTTCACAGCACTTTAGTACAGCACAGAAGCTGAAGAACACAAAGATTGAGGCTTTTCTGCAGCACCTTAGCAGAGCTGCATCTTAAGGGACAGCCAGTTTGACCCCTTCTAGCACTAAAATAATGTGTTTGTAGGGTTATGTTTATAGTACATTTCTGGGTCTCCTAGGCTTCTAGAACATGCTGTAACCATATTGTCACTATCTCATCAAACACCCTGTATATTTTTACTCTTAAATGTAATATGGAGTTCTCATGTGACATATGGATTATCTAAAACCAAGAAAAATAAATCTCATTAAGTCTTAACCAACAAATACATCCACACAAAACTAATTATATTTAAAAATTAAATTTAACTTAATCCTCCAATCTATTATAATTTATAAGAAACTACAAAGTTTATTAATCTAAATATATATAACTCAAAGGTGACTGACATAGTGATCTATCAACGCACAGCCCAAACCACTGGACGGATCGGGCTGAAATTTGGCATGCAGGTAGATGTTATGACGTAGGCATCCGCTAAGAAAGGATTTTGATCAATTCTACCCCCAAGGGGATACAATAGGGGATGAAAGTTTGTATGAAACTTTGTCAATTTTAAACCGATCGGGCTGAGACTTTGCATGCATAAAGCTACTATGACGTAGGCATCCCCTAAGAAAGGATTTTGATAAATTCCACCCCTAAGGGGATAAAATAGGGGATGAAAGTTTGTATAAATCTTCTTAGATTTTCGACTGATTGAACTGAAATTAAAGATTGGAGCTACTATGATGAAGACGTCCGCTTAAATAGGATTTTGATAAATTCAACCCCCATGGGGATAAAATAAGGGATGATGGAGGATGTAAATGTATTAGTTTGAACCTATCAGTACCTAATGGAACGAATAAATTAAGACGAACAAAATAATTTTTAGTTCTAAATGTTGACAATAGATGGCGTTAGTAGTATTTTAAAACGCGCTATCGTTGTGTTTTCACTGAGTTACATATACCCGATGATGAGTGGCCGCCGTATCTAATAGTACATACTATACCTAAATATTTCTAGCGGATTATATTTGACGATTTTGGCTGTTCTTTTCTTGGCATATTTTGGATTGCATTTGCTTTGTTTCGGTTTAGTAGTTTTGGTTATAGACTCTGCTTTGTATTTGGCATTTGTTTTGTTTTCGTTTGGTTTAAGTATAGGTTTTGTCGGTTAGACTTTTTTAAAATGGCTAAAGAAAATCTGAACGTTAATGGAGAAGTTGAAGAATGTACTGTCGTCCCTATTGTTGGTGACGGTGCATGTTTGTTTCGTGCTCTCTCTTATTTAATGTACGGAACACAAGATACAGCGATGGAGTTTTATGTTGCTTGCTCACGAGTAAGTTCACCCAATAGCTTGATAGTTTTAGCGCCTAATGACAGATTAGTTAAGAATATTGTGTACAAAGAAGTTTTGTAGGCCCTAATTTTTTACACACGCTAAACAAAAGTAAAGCCGCAAAAACTATACCTAATTAATAATAATACTTCTTAACGTGAGCGAAGCCACGGGCAAAAGCTAGTAAATTAATAAACTTCTAAATATTACATACCCCTGTAGCTCTTGTAGACCTTTATTAAAACTCATGTATATTTGTACAATTTCTTTTTATACACTTGGTTCATAGCACTTAAACATATATAATATTTTTGTAAGCTTGCTGATCATGTGCACTTTCTAAAAATTTACTTCATGAAACAGCAGTAAGAGAAATGTAGTTACACCAAATGCAAGAAGACAAAGGCCTTAAATTGTTCATAAATCTAGAAAGTTAGTTAGTGAATTTTGGAGACATATTCCTAAAATAAAATAGATATTTAGACTGTCACTTATTATTCATATTTGGAACCGCATGTAGTTGTGTATCACTGTAGGCAAGTACTGTAAGGTCTCTTTTTATGCGGATTATTTTTATGCGATTTTGAAGTTGTGCGGTTTGTATTTCATACAAAAATTTCTTGGACAAGCATACATATAGGCTTGTTTAGGAAGCCCGCATATAGACATCTCCAAAAATCGTAGAACGCTCAAAGCTCACTCCATTTGTTCCACTGACATATAACGTTTATGGATGTAAAGGACAGCTAGATCTACCTTAATCGCTTTAGTTCCTAGCAATTTTTGATATAAATGTAATTAAACATAAAAAATACTTAAAACTGAAAAAAAACGAAAGAAATGCGTTAATTTTGAAGAAAAAGCTTCAAAGTTTAACTTCCTTTGTCTC